AAGACTCGCTTATTCTCCTCTACCGTAGACTATACGATACGATTTACGCATGGACAAGCGACAGCAATACTCATCGACGAAGGCATTATACGAAGCGAGCAAGCGGGATCACGATAGCACCACCTCCTGCTACGACTTCCACAGCATTCACTCTATCGGAGACAGCAGAGCTTGTTGTTGGTGAGTACGGTCGCGGTGCTGCGTTGAACAAAGGGACTTGGAGAGTTGTTCGAGCCTTATTTGCGGATCGAGATGTGGTGCGAGAAAGACTTGATGCTGTCTGACAGATGGAGAGAGGGGGGACTAGAAAAGACCCGGGGAAACGTGAGAGCGGTCGACGATTGTTCCAAGTAATGTATGCGTGCGTGCATGTGTGTGTGTGTGTGCTGAGATGCTCTAGAGCCTTGTGGAAGCACACTTCTCGACTCTCGTTTTGAGATGATGGGGATGCTGATATAACAATAGCTCATGGCTTGCCACGCTTTCTATTATTTTATTCACACATCTCCTGGAGTTTCCCCTTCATGTTGGCGGGATACTCCAAGTTAGGGCCCTGTCCCTGGCATGAGATCCTCGCACAAGGAAGCTGTGTAACACTATTGCTTGCTCGCTCAGCTAATCAGATCAGGGAAGCTGGGAAGTTATTTTAACCACGAAAACGGGGTGCAGATGGACTCGAACTGAGCACACATGCGTGCAATGAGAAAAGAAAACCCCGCGATCAGAACTGTGAGTGCTCTGGGATACCATAAGACTCAAGACTTTTGCATCAAGGGTAAGAATACACCTATAAAAGAGCCTGTTGTTGATAGGAGTATCCCTTATAGTGAGGCCTGGACTCTTGAGTTCTCTACCGACCTCTGGATTCAATAAAGTGAGACGTAGGGAGAGAGCGTGGTATGAGTTGTCTCGGGAGAGAAGACGGGAAGTATTGGTGGTACAATTGCTGACATGCGTGGTTGTGCTACACGAAACTGGGGTTGGTGTCACGGTATTGGAGGGCCTCAGGGGACGATCGGAACATCGCGATACGCGTTGTTTGTTTCTTTTTACGGCAACAGAGACTTTGAGATCTGCTATCATAATATAGTCAAGTCCAGAGTTGACAGAGCATGTTGTCGACGGTCAAATTTGTTTGTATACTCGAGAGGGGGCATCTATCTCAATGGTGATATTGGAACACAATCTGAATGCTGCAGTGGCGAGGCCCCTTTCGAGCCGGGGAGAAAAACGTGCACTTGAAACGTACTCAACCGCGGCCCAGAGCTGAGTTCAGCCCTTGAGCAATTCCTTGCAATCGCATCCCGTCATGCATGGATCATTTCCGTTTCCACCTCGTAAAGAAGCAGCCTCAATATGCTCAGACCAGGCAAAACGGCTGAGGATGAGACATCTCGTGTTCGCAACAACGGCCAACAGCCCAAACCTCCAAGCTTATAAGGCCCTCGATTTCCCAATGGAAGATGTCCCCAAGGCAGAGCTCATCAGCTTCATCTTCTCGCCATGATGGTGTCCTTCCTCCTCATCTGCCTTCACGCAGCTCTTGCTTTTGCAGCCTCTACTTCACCAGCCAATACCTCAACTGCTCTGAACAACTGTCTTGCCTCCAAGAAAGTCCCCTACATCCGCCCCAACTCAGCCCAATGGACTCAAGAAGTCAGACCCTACAACCTTCGTCTGGCCTACACTCCTGCTGCTATTGCACTGCCTACCACTGTTGATCATGTCCAAGATGCCGTCAAGTGCGGTAATCAGTACCAGGTACGAGTCAGCGCCAAAGGTGGCGGCCATAGCTATGGCTCCTTCGGCTATGGAGGCGAGAATGGCCACCTCGTAATCGTGATGGATTCTATGGACCAGGTTACGTTGAACAAGTATATGAGTTGCAACATCCAGGCTGGTGCTCGGCTTGGACATGTTGCTTCCGAGTTGTATAAGCTTGGTCAGAGAGCTATTCCCCACGGAAGCTGCCCAGGGTAAGAACGCACTTTGATCAGCTACGTACAAAGACTAACAGAGATAGTGTTGGCATTGCAGGCCACGCCCTTCATGGAGGTTATGGCTTCGCCTCACGAACATACGGTCTCACACTCGACACTTTCATCGGCGCAACCGTGATTCTTGCCAACGGAACACGAACTTACGCTGCAGATGGAGAGGGCGGAGATAACCAACTCATGTGGGCTCTTCGCGGCGCAGGATCTTCTTACGGGATCGTGGTTGAACTCGACTTCCAAACGATCAAAGCCCCTGATACAGTCACGCCGTTCAATATTGAACTTGATTGGGACGAGAACCAAGCTGTTGAGGGATTAATTGCGTTCCAAAAGTTTGCAGTCAACGCACCAAAGCAACTGAATATGCAGATCTACATTGGGCCATCAGGGCAGACCATTCAGGGTGTTTACTATGGAACTAGGACGGCTTTGAATAACGCGCTCAAGCCTCTTCTTGGAGACATCAAAGCACAAATCTCTGCCTCGAGCACCGGAGGATGGATTGAAGGATTGAAGGCCTATGCAAATGGCCAGAACCTCGATCAAAGACGCCCATACGATCAGGTCAGTATTTGCACTCATACTTATCCTGTCTGCCACTGAAAACTCCGTAGCACAGCACTTTCTACAGCACAAGTCTCATGACTATAGCCCTCACCCGGTCCCAAGTCAAGTCGTTCGTCAGAACTCTCTTCGACAACATCAATGACCGCGATGCTCGACACTCATGGTACATCCTCATTGATCTCTTCGGCGGTCCCAACTCAGCCATCACAACAGCCGGTTCCACCAACAGCGCATTCCCTCATCGTGACAAACTTCTCCTTTTTCAGTTCTCTGACCACGGGAACTACGCTACTCATGCGAAAAACGGCTTCACGCTGCTCAAGAGATTCAGAGAGAGTATCACCAAGACTATGGATGATTCTCAGTGGGGCATGTATGCGAACTACTTGGATACGCAGTTGGATAATCTGGATGCCGTTGAGCAGTACTATGAGTTGAACTTGGGCAGATTGAGGGAGCTCAAGAGAACGTATGATCGGAATGACATGTTCTGGAATCCGCAGGGTATTCGACCTGCAACGAGAGGCTGAGAAGACCACGACTGTAGTGCACTGGAGGAGACCGGTATTGCCGTTCTTTGTACATAGCTTCAAATCAACCTTGCCAAATAAATTGTATCACAATGGACCCAGTGTCAGCTGTGGATGGATGTTCTAACTGTAGTTCCCCATATTAATGGTCTATCGAGAATCAGGAGTCTAATCCTGCTTATCTCGCTGTGGTGTAACATTCAGAACGTATGTGATCAAGAGATCAAGGCCTATTTGAATGAGAAGATACTCCAGAGTCAGAACTGTCACCAACGTTCTATGATCTTCGAATCTTGAACCTTCTTCAGCGTTTCCACCATGGCGGCTCTGCACCTTCTGGAGGGGCCACCAAACCTTCTCCATGAAAGATGGCTACCAGACAGAACTTGTTCGAGACCAGGCAGGAGAACAAAGCTGGCAGCAGAAAACAGGAAAGCAAGGACATCGCAAGAGGTGAAGACAACATCAAAGGTAGGGCTTTCAGGTTATCTCTTTTTCTTCTACAACCTGAAAGGAGTCATATTGTTTACTAAAGCTAAATTTTAAGTCTATTGTGTTATAACCAGGTGAGATAGGACTGCTTACGAGTAGTTAGACGAATAACATGGCTTTCTTCTGGCATCTTTCCATTTCTGTCGTGGGCAATCTCCAAGAACAACCCATAGGGACCCTACCCTGATGTCTCATATGTTACTGTTGTGGAGATGAGACTGCATATGCTGAGCTAGCTGCTCGATGCCCACTGTTCGTTGCTGCCCTGGACTCGTTCGATCTCCCTTCATCCTCACGCAAAACATGGACTCGCAAGGCGTGATCGACTTTGTGAACGTCTAAATTCATGAGTTGACAGCGTCAAATCTCGCTTTGTGGCTTTTAAACCCCGACCATAAAGGCATTTGCGGCAATGAAGATATCTACACTAAGTTAATTGACCGATATCCCTTATATCTCGCCTCTGGTCTTATTTACATACTTCATACCTTTAAAATACCTTTAGAAGAACTATTTACAAATTTACCTAATATACCCACTAAGTCTGTCTGGGGAGTATACTATCTTTGACTTACAAAACCGGGCTGCATTTCAAAGCTCTACTATGAGTCGGGTACAGATGCAATCCAAGGGGTTAAGTCAAGAATTGAGTCGTATAAGCCTAATAGCAGAGCACTCCCGTCATTTATCGATCGAGCCTTTAATAACGGTTATATTCTCTCGACCTCCAGGCTTCTATGCTGGACATCACTCCCTGAAGATAGCGGCACACCACGTTTACGTTCTCGGCTGCTCCTCTTGGAGGGATACTTTACTGTCAAATTCCATGCCTGTTTTGCAATGGACTCGGATATTTACCTTGCGGAATACACTTTGTGGCCTCGAAAGATGCCTCTCGGGAGCCCCTGTGCTCTCATTCGCCATGTCTGATCTATCTAAGTATGCAGTCGTGCTTTCGATGTCGAAGTCTCTGTGACACCAGGGTCAATGCCTGAACCACTCTCACGACTCCTGTGGGGCCGTCCCAGCCCGCCCGTCTATACTTCACAGTCCAGCTCTCTAGAAAACTGTTAGGCAAATCGCCACTGTCCTTTCACTCCAGAGACTCTTCTAAGGTATGGTAGATGGTCTGGAGAGTGATTTTGGGTCTTAATTCAGCTTCATCATCCATGGGACGCTGTGAATGGAGCAGTACCCATCATTGAAAGCTTTGCCTGAGTGAAACGGAAAATGTTGTCGATAAAGAGCAGCACATTCTGACCTTCTTCGCGGAATTGCTCAGCCAGCGTAAGCTATATTTATAGTCAGTGAAAGTCCAAAAAACCGTGTCGACGTGTATTATGAAGTTGTAGTAGCAGAGGCAGCTCACCGCTTGTGTAGGGAAGTTGCCAAGTGTCGATCAAGAGACCGCTGATTAGGGAAAGGCTTGCTGCATGGAGTACAGTGGAATTGGCCGCTGGTTCTTCAGGTTCTGAGCAAACATAGATAGAGGAGCTAACTGCATACCGGCCGCTCGTTTTGCGTGTTTTTCGGTGTTCAGGTGTGCATCAAGGGCGGCCTGGGTTTGAAAAGGCTCCTCGCATGTGCCATACACAAAGCGATTTGTGGATTCATTCTTCTCTTGGACTTTCGCGGCAATCTTCAGGACTTTGTCGGGGCTCTTCAGACTCCAGGACTTCTTATCAGAAGGAACGCGCTGCTTATAACTGATTGGATCTTGGGCACGTCGTTTTGCGCGGTGCCTGCGGGATTTCTCCAGGTCGATATCGTGGGCTCGTTTGCGGCGTAGAGCAGCGTTGATTTCCAGTAACTTGGGTGGGAGGTCGATACCCCCGCGGATTGCTTCTTTGAGGGCGTGGGGAGAACTGGGAGCTGACCCAATGCATGAAAGCCTTGGGATAGGGTCATTGGGGTTGATGCTGCTGTTTGATGCGCAGACCAAGAACTGCACCGAGAAAGCCATGAATGATGGTTTGCAGTAGAGGGTTGCGTTAAAGGCTTTAGCGTGACTTTGAATCGAGATCTCCAGGTCCTTCCATAGATTTGTCACGAGAAAGCAGCTTCTGTACACGGACTATACAATGTACTGTCCATCCAGTTGGTGTACCTTGTCGAGAGCATCTGATGTAAGGGATACGCTCCATGCGACGATGGCAATTTCTATATGTTTGCCTTCTTCGTAAGTATCACCTATCGAACGGGATGAAAGAGTGTCTCACTGCTCTGGAACGAGTTTATGTCGGATCCGCGAACCTCGATCTCCATTCGCGTGTCAAAGGTTTGTCACGCGGCTCCTTAGAATTCAGCACAGAACGCATATCCATGGAGAGCGGCGATGTGACCAAAAGAGCAGTGAAAGCCGGTATCGCAGAGCCACAGTCATCGCAGGGCGCAAGAAATTCGTCGGAAAGGGAGTCGTCAGGAAATGGGCAATTGCCCACCTTGCATTTCTGATAGGCCATGTCTCTCGGGCTCCAAACGACGGTGAGTTGATTACTAGGTAGCTTGTATCATGAGCAAAATTCTGGGCAAAGTCGGCGATGAAGAGACTGCGGAAAGACGAAGAAAATGGTGGTTGACCTATACAGATTGGGGAGGTGAAGAAAAGTAAAATAAAGTGACTAGCAGCCCTCCTTCGGCACGCAATCAACAACGCCTGAGAAAACAAAACCACCATAATATCACGAGAGAACCTAACAGAGGCTTAAATAATACCACCAAAGAATATTTGCACAAAGGCCAGAGTAATTGAGATCGGACATGACCGACTTGCTCTCAGCCAGGTACCTACCTACTCACCTGTTTGAAGACTGCAGATCTACCACAAATTGATGTACCACCATCTCACAAATCTGCACTGGCTGATTGGGCAAAGCAGAAACGCGCCCGATCTCTCCCGCAAGATTGAATGTAGTATATGGCCATCTAACATCGGCCAACCGTCTGTTTGGCCTCGCGTTTGCTCTTGGCAAGAAGGAGAAGCAACATTAGAGGACCTCAATGAGCAAATTCGCCGCGGAACTATCACACTGACTGATGTACTAAATGGCATCTGCCGTGTTGCGATCCGAGTCTACCATCATTTAACTCGGTCATGTAGTCAGAGGTTTGTAGTCTTGAGTATTGGTGATGGCCCGGGCGCCGTTTCAATCGAGGTTTGAGAGGATTAGTACTTTGAAGCCGTGTCAAGGCGATTATAAGTTGCCAGCGACGTTATGAAGACCCAGAGAAGGGGCCTTATCAAGTCAATCAGTACGGACCTCAAGCTGTTTGGCTTGTTTCGTTTCGGCCAAGATAGCTCCAATCACCAATTCACCCCATCGCATCACAAACTCGACTTCAATCATTCCACGTCTTCTATTACACATCTATCATAAACAAGTACGCATATTTCATATCATATGTAAATCTAGTTGTTTTCAATCATCGTCTTTAACTCGGCAAACTTGACCGGCTTAGGCAAAAACAGGTCCACGCCCGCCGACATGGCATCCAGCCTCGCATCCGCGCTCGCTAGGCCCGTCAGCGCAAACACCGTCGTCCGCGGGATCTTATACTCGGCCTCGAGCTTGCGGATCCTCTTTGTCGCCTCGATACCGTTCATGACGGGCATGCTTATGTCCATCAGGATGTAGTCGAAGTGTTTCTTGACGGGTGCTCCTGGTTCTGCGTCGCCGATTGTCGACTTTTTAAACGTATCGACGGCTTCTTCTCCGTTCTCGGCTTCCTCATAGGAGAATCCGCACTTTTTCATGAACATTGTTAGGAGGTTGAGATTGATCTTGTTGTCGTCGACGAGTAGGACGTGTGCCTTGCCTGGCATTTCTGGCATCTTTTGTTTTCGTGTGTTTTGCGAAAATTTATGGTACACCTCCTTCCTGAACTCTTCATTACTCTCCTTCTTTTCGTTATTCTGGCCATTATTCCGACTGCCGTTTTGGGGGCGGCTCTGTTCTTCCTTTCCTCGCGGTAATGGCGACGTAGTAGTCTCAGCCCGAACGCGTTTGCTGTTTTTATCTTGATGTAATTTCGAGTTCATCTGTTCTGTTGCGTCCTCTCTGTCCGGAGTGTTCTGCTCGTTTGGCTGTCTGCCATCTGTCTGTGCACTCTGAATGGGGTTTCTCTTATTATCATCTTCTCTGACCTCCCCAATCCTGTTCAAGCATCGGCTGAATACTTGGGCGAGCTTTCTAGGGCCACATCTAAGTACATGTTAGCATCTATGCGAAATTGCGCGAGGCCATGACTTACGGTTGTGGAATGACTTCAACCACATCTGACAATCTGGCTAAAGCCTTACTCTGAGCTCTCGATATCTTTGCCGCTTCCTCTTCGTTCAGGCTGATGATGATGATGGGCGCTTTTTTATTGCGACCTCCGTCTGTCGCAGTCTCTTCAAACCGCTTTTCGAGAGTCTTTGCAGATGGGGGTTCACAATAGAGATAGAAATCGGCTTTGGGTACATCCGTATCTATCTCTCTTGCAGCCTTCATGTTGAACCAACTTGAGAAGATTTCCAGCAAGGCTTCGTTGCGCACCTCGACTTGTTTAGTAATAGTTTTCGAATGGAAGTCCTCGCTTGCTTCCAGGAGCACCAAAGACCTTCCCCGGAGTTGTTCAACCATAGATGCCATAGGCTCTTCCGGCTTCGGGCTCTCTTGAGGAACCGGCTCGAGACGGAGTCGGACTTCAATCTCAGTACCCTTATCCTGTTCCGACTTGACCTCTAGCGTTCCTCCAAGTGAATCCACAATCTGTTTAACAATGCTCAAGCCTAGACCAGTGCCAGGTTGGAAGGAATCTTCCTGGCTAAAAGGAATAAAGAGACGGTTCTGTTGGAAGTCCTCCGACATTCCTTTTCCGGTATCCGTGACTCGGATCAAGACATCTATTCTAGAATCGCCGCTGATCTCTTGTGCCCGTACCGAGACAAGTACAAAGCCTAACGCTGTGTACTTGAGCGCGTTACCGAACAGATTCATGACAATTCTTCGAAGGGCGCCAGGCTGTGTCTTGACCATCCATGATGCCCTCGGGCTAATATCCAGGAGGATTGATACAGGATGATCGGTTCCTGGTTCTGGGGCTACTTGGTTATCCTTGCCACCCAATATTGCATCGTCTTGTTGCTTCCTGGGAAGCCTTTTGAAGTTGTGACCAGTTGCCACGGCGTCAACAACCTCCTCAACAAGAATGGAGAGGTCCACTGAAGCCGTCATATTTAGGCTCTCCATGGAATCAGAAGAGAGGCTAATGACCTTGCTGTGCTTTGCACCCTTTTTTAAATGTCCGCTGCCGAGATTGTTTATCTTGCTGAAGTCAAGCACATGGTTCAAGGTATCGAGAAGTGTCTTGCCACAAGTCGCGATCGAGTTGACGAGGCCAGCTTCATACGAGTCAGTTACTGCGTCTTTGAGGAATTCAGCAGCGCCCAAGATGCCATGTAGCGGACTTCGTAATTCGTGACTCATACTGGCGATGAATGTAGTTTTTGCTGCTTCGTTCTTTCGTGTATTTATTCGTCCGACTTGACTGGTGATGCTGTTGCCGAAAGCTCGTAGGTAGGAAAGGTCCTCATCCAAGTTCATCATGCGACCCGGCACCGACGTCCAGAGGAAACATCCACCAACAAGTTTATCTTCGACGTAGTCAAACAATGGCAAGAAGACAACGGCTTTTGCCCCAGGAATCTTCTTAAGGAGTTCCTTGTGATCGATCTTCTCTTTGCGCCGCTTGCTTCTTCCCCCGGCGGGAGCAGGGCTACCATCGCTCGCACTGTCGTCATCAGACGAAAGACCGGCTCCTTCTTCTGTAAACGTAAACGTCTTTCCTTTAGGAAAGAGTGAAAAGTATTTCTCGAGAGCTCCGATAGAGAAGGATGGACCTTGCTCGAGGTCCAGGGGTTTGCCCTTATCTGCCAACGAGTAAGCAAGAAGCTTGCAGGGTCTTGACAGCGGTGATGTGTCGGATTCGGAGCTCTCTGTGCTGAAGGTATCGGGTTCTGCATCGAGTTGCGTCGGCAGCCCGTCAGCCTCCGTAGCACCACCCTGCCCTACCTGTACCGCTCGGGTTCGATGTTGAACGCTGGAGGCTGTGGCACCGAAGAGCACAACTCCATCGGCGAGGATTGCAGATCGTAGGTTATCGGCCGCTCGATGGTACATTCTTGATAAACCGTCCGTCTGTGGCTTGTGCTTACGAGGCGGTGATGTAGCTTCCTGGGATCGTTGGTTGGAGTCAGGATCAACCTTGCGCATGGTGTTGTGCAGAGAGGAGCGCCTCGTCGCAGTTATAGTCATGCCTGGGGGACGTTTAATCGAGGGCCTCTGAGGTTGATCCTCCTTCGACAAGATAGGGTCGTCACTTGAGCAGCCTTCGATGAAGGTCGCCAGTCCGCGAACGATGCGCTCGCCTTTAAACCTGTCAACACGGTCGCGTGCCCATTCCAGATGTTCTGTGATAGCTTGCGCAACACTCTGCATAAACTTCACATCCTCGATCGATAGTCCATCGCGCGGTTGTTCGTCTGAAACAGCATACGCTCCGACCTTGTATCCTTTTCGTGAGAAGATGGGTACGCCAGCGTAGAAGCGCACACCTGGTTCGGATTGGACATATACGCGCGATTTGAAGCGATCATCGAGGCGACAATCGGGAACGATAAGGCCAGAGGCCGTGTATGTTTTACCATCAGGATCGCGACCGATGCATGTATTGTGTAGGCAGTGTTCGCAAACGGCTTCTGGGCGGGAGAGAATCGAAGTTCCCACTGCAAGTAATTAGCCATGAAGACAAGGAGGAGCTGTGATTGTCTCAACTATAGAGATCGTCTAACCTACACCACAAGTCACTGTTATATTCGGCTATGTTGGAGTCTTTCTTGTCGTCGGTGGTTTTTGCACCAGGTTCTTCTTCGAGTGATCCCAATCGCAGATTTCGCGTGGCTTCGGCGAGAATGTATTGATTAGAAGAATCGATGAGTGAAACCATACAACGCTTCACGTTGAGACGAAAGACAGCGAGTTGCGCAAAGGCTGAGAGCGCCTTGTCGGAGGAGGGCTGAGGCGTGTGTGCGTCATTGATCTGAGATGGCGCGCTGATGCTGTCAACACTTCTGGCTACCTTGAGAGAGGAACCTTGGGCTATCTGCCAGCTCTGGAAGTAACCCTGCACCTCGCGTTCGCGTTGCAGCTCTGCAGAGCTCGACATTGTATCGTGGTATGAGAAGTCATGCCATGCCTTAGGGTTGATTTATCCCTCAGAATGATGATGCTAGAGAGAGTGGACAGCCCCAGGGACTGGAGGTAGGCATGTGGTAGCCGCAAAATTTGGGTGGTCCCCCCTCTGTGACCCTCGTGCTCATTGCGTCATAGTTGCCTCCAACGTCACCTGGAAACGGTCCGTGAACTTGGGGTTAGGCGATTCTAGAATAGTCACATCGCCCCAGAAATCGAGAATTCGCCTTCTTGTTGGCCAGTCTCTTTCATCTGGACCCGAAAATGAGGTCACGCCAGGCACCGTCACCAAAATAACAAGGTTAGAGATCGATTAGCGGTCACCAAGAGATTTCCGAATGTGAGTGATTCAGCCATCTTGTCTTTCCCACAAAGTTCCAGGTTCCACGTGCTTATTGTGTCTGTCTCAATTGAGCTTTTCCTTGTTTGTTCACTTCATGCATTCCTTGCCGAGTCAAGCTTTGCCAAGCGACAAGCTGGCTGGTTGCGGGGAAGAAGTCATATTTATATGAGAATACGGTTAGAAACTCAATCTCCAATACGAAGTATCGTGGGGACAATTACATCGGCAAAGCTTAGATCCGCCCGGTGCAAGCAATTGATAGCAGTCGGCAACTTCGTACTCCGAAAACTCCGGCCCCCAATTGCCAATTCAGGAAACTACATCAAAAGTCCCTGGAGAATCCTCCTTGGAGATAATGATGAGCCATCTCCATTCGACAATATCTCAGCATGTAACCCAAAAATCCTACAGCGAGCTTAGTCCCAGTTAATCAGCACTTTATTCGCCAAGCAAATAAATAGACCGTAATATCTCCTTGTGTTTTCGCTTTCTGTAAGCAATTGTTTGTCTATCGATTATTTCCCTTCAAAGAATCATCATCCTCAACGTTCAAGATGGCACCCACCACTACTCACACTGCACGATCAATCCTTGAATCATTCTACGATGCTGAGCGCATTTACATGGCTTCGCCACCTGACGAACGCGACTTCAGCGGTATGGCAGCATCTCTCTCGAAAGAAGTGCGCCTCAAACAATCATCTGGACTACCATACGCTGGCGAATACACTGGACCTGATGGTTTCCAGCAATGGGCAAAAGCTATGGCCGACTACTTTGACAAAGTCGATGTCCAGAACCCTGAGATATTCGAAAAGGAGGGCTCGAACCGCATCATTTCGCTCGGTTATCTGCATCTCAAGGTCCGCAAAACTGGGGAGGAATTGAAGTATCCTCTGTGCCAGGTCATCCAGGTTGATCTTGAGGCTGGGGTTATCAAGAGTATCATGCCCTTTTATTGGGATGTGTATGCTTTGAACAAGGCTATTGGTTATACACCAGAGCTTTAGATCTTAGGTAGCTGACCCGATGAACATGATGGCGATCGAGCCAAAGGTTGGCTCGATTATCGCAAGGAGTGAGAGTAGCAAAATAATTATCAAAGTCAAATATTTCTCCCCAGACGTTTTGTTTCTTAGCTACCATCTCTGGATGTTGCATAAATCTGCCAATTCATGACATTGAACCTCTGGTGGAAACTTGAGTTGAGATGTAAAGATGTGAAGCTGATGCGAGATGCGAGATGCGCTATAGATAGCTTGCATAGCAATTCAGTTACATTACACAGTAAATTCAGCGACAGAAGAGATACTACTGATGATCTGCAATGATCTTATCACAGTATTCCGCAAACTCAGCCGCAGTCCCTGTTCCTCCCTGCTCCTTCGACTTGAGATTCTCCAACAAGTCAGCCCTGGGACTCGAATGAAAGCGACCCCAAGGCAAGATAAACCTCCCTCCATCCTCAATCTGCAAGTCCGGCGAGAGACCAGACCATAGGTTGGTATAAGCGCCGAACTTGGCATGATAAAGAAGCGGTGAAACGATATAGCCAACAATCGACGGCATGTGGCGAAGCAGGTTACTGTGAAGGTTTCCTGGATTGTGACAAACGCTGAGAATACCATGAGAGCCAACCCGATCTGCCAGAACGCTGGCGAGGTACCAGTTTCCTGTCTTTGAATTCGTGTAGTTGACTTGCTGGTCCTTAGATGGATTGATGACTTCTTCCATTTTGACTCCACCCTTTGGAACAGAGAGATCTGTGACGATGGAGGCCGTCCAGACTACTCGAACTGATGCTGAGGGCTGGCTCTTTGCCGTCTCTTTCAGAATTGGTAAGAGAAGCTGCGTGAGATACCAAGGCCCGATGGCGTTCGTTGCCATACTGAGTTCATATCCCTGAGCTGAGACTGAACCCGCTGGAGGGTTAGATACTCCTGCGTTGTTGAAAAGGACGTCGAGCCTGGACTCTCTCGACTTGAAATCTTCTGCTGCTGCTTTTATAGAATTCAGGTCGTCGAGGGCTATCTTGAGAAAGCTGAGGCTGCCGCTTGCATCGGGATATTGTTCCTTGAGTTGATTGATAGCTGATTCTGCTTTCTCTTGTGATCTTCCAGCGATGTAAACGGATCCGCCAGCTTGATAGAGCATACGACTCAATTCGAAGCCTACGCCGGAGTAGCCACCTGTCACAATGAAGACGCGTCCATTCTGCGCGGTGAGGTCCTCCTCCATAAACTGTGGATTTGGGGGAAAGAATAAAGAATACGTATTGCCCATCGCAAATATTCGTCTCAGATGCTAATTGTTAGTGAGTAATGATCTTGGCACCTTCGTTGAGAGCGGGGATAGACTAGGTGAGTGTGACGTGCCCGAATTTGGGGGCGTTGGTTGAGGTGACGAATGCTCTATGCACGCGGCCCTATCAACGTCAAGCTGTGCCTTGCCTATCACACTCTGATACAGGCCTAGCGTTCATAGCGTAACATATCGATCTTCCATTCTTATCACTATTTTATGCAGCGCATATATCTCTACCTTCACATTCTTGCGGCCAACATCTCCACGATATGCGAAGTCAATCTCTCAGTCATCTTCAACCCGGGATCATGATCTGGGTTAACCTCCGCAACAGTGAGGCCTCCAACCTTTTCACTTCCAAGCAGCACTTTGAGAGCTCTCATCATATTCTCAAACCCCACACCAGTAAAGTTGGGAACATTCGCCAAAGGAAACGTCCCGGGATCAATCGAGTCGACATCTAAATGAACCATAATGATATCGACTTTGTCTTGCAGAAACTCAAGTGTTTCTTTTGCGCGTTGCTCAGGATCTTTCGCCACGGATGCTGAACTGACGACTTTGAAGTTATTGTCAAAAAGATACTTGAAGTGCTCTGGTTTGTTCCCAGGAAGAGACATGTTCGTGCCGAAGAAAACAGTATTCGAAGCATCACAGACAGGTTCGCCTGATGGACGAGAGAACTGCTCCATTCGTGGAAGCGCACCAGGCAACCGAACCAGATGTGCCATATTCATCCCAGCAAAGGTGCCAATAGAGCTTGGATCTGTAGGAGAGGTAAGGTCGGTATCAGCGTCGATATAAACCAGACCAATACGTTTAGGCTGAGACTGCGAGTCGGCATGTTTCCAGAAGGCAGAGAGGACAGCTGGCAGCATACAGCACTCGCCGCCGAGAATTAGCTGGAAATTAGGTTGACTGATCGAAGCCCTGAAGTTATTGCCGATGGTCCGCTCAACGTTTTCGCAGACCGAGATATTGATGTCTTCATTGCGCGCACTGCCTGCGCTGAAAGTTGTAGCAGAGAATGTTGCTGGTGCCTCAAGAGCTTGATGTTCAGAGACAGATGGTACACCAGCGTCTCTTAATTTGCCAACGATTCCGACGTCTCTGAAGGCCTGGGGCGCTTTGGATTTGCCCGGAATGATTGATCCACAGTCCGCAGGGACATAAGTGATTGAGACTGAGCGGGATGCTGCCATAGTGTATCAAGTGACGTTCGTAGAATGTTGTGTTGGTGCTGCTGCGAAATGTCTAATATTTTATATCCACTTAATTGATGTCAATTGAAAGGCGCAAGTCAGACCGAGTTAGTTTTATCATGGAAAGACTTTCCCTTTGAGCTTCATCTTACCCCATTTCGATGTGACGTAGGTTTTGTCAGCCATAGGGCGCAAACCAAGAATTTTTGAACCCCGATGAGATACCATCAGCACTAACTGATATGGAAAATCGAGAGGGGAAACACATACCCGTTTTTGGACTTTTAGAATAGTGCGATGATTAGTAAATAGATCAGTCTATCATCTGCTTCACATATAGGCAAATCGATTAGTGATGCAAAACACGAAGAGATAGGCGTGACAGTTAAATATCGTGAACTTTTGTTGATAAGAGTAATTATATACAAAGAAGACCATTGGCCATAGACATTAACCCAAGATGCCTCCCCGTGATATCATGATGATGAATTGAGCTTGTGTGGCTATCGGTCAATCCAAAAAGCTTTATGCTCATAGTGCACTCAATGTAGCTATACCCAGGAGAAATCCATTTAGACAGCGAGGCTAGCAAGGAGGCCAGTGACGGGAAGAAGGACGGGAGCGAGAACGCCGTTGCCGAGACCAGCAAGGAGAGGAGTAAGACCGGCAACCAGACCAGGAACAATGGCGGAAACGAGGCCAATGACAAGGACGAGAACCTTGGTGAGGATCTGGAAGACAGAGTGGAGGATGGAGATGAGCTGAGGTCGGAGGCCAGTAACAGTGACGATGGTCTTGACAGCGGTGAGAACCTCAGAGACGAGGACGACAACGAGGTTGAGGACAGTGTCGACATCAGAGTCGGCAACATCAAGACCAGCAGCACCGGTGAGCTTGGTGACAATCTCAGTAAGCTCGAAGTGAACAGACTCAAAACCAGGGATGGCCTTGGTAGCACCAGCGTCCTTGGTAAGATCACCAGCCTTGACCTTCTCAGCAATAGAGTCTAAATCCATTAGCACCAACCCAAACATCAAATTCAAAGCCATCACTTACTCAGACTAGTGGTCTTCTTGTTGATGTTGCTAACACCGCTCTTGAGAACAGTGATGAGCTCCTGAGGGTTGGAGATAGCAGCACGCTTCGCAGGAGACTTGGTAGCCTTGTCGACGATCTGCTTCACGCCAACCTTGTCGACGATGTTCTCAGCGCTGTGAATAGCACCGTTGACCTGCTCAACAGAGTGGGTGTCCTTCTGAACCCCAGGAACAGGGGAGGCGAGGGCTGAGATGGCGAGGGCGAAAACGGAGAAGAAAGTGGCCTTCATTTTGAATGTGGTGAAAAAGAAAACTGAAAGAGTGTTTTTACTTAAAGGAGTGTGGTGTAAAGAAGAGTTGGGTTGAGATGAGATGAGATGATTATGAGAATAGGTTTGACGGGGTGAAGGGAGGTCTTTATACGGAGGCATTCTGCCAAGGGAATATCCAAGAAAGAGATTGATATTGTCACCAGAAGTCAGTAGTCTTGTCGATCATTCTGTAAAACGGAGTCATGAGAGTTAGTGTGGTGTTGAGCCCACCGGGGAGCTGACGGCATCATAGATTCAGGCAAGATCCACGCCTTATGGGGCTCTGAGTGATTTCGATACTTGTATAGCAATGAAGGCGTAGATGTTACCCTGAGCATTTGTATTATTATGACTTTACAGCTCCTCGTCCTTCCAGTTTGTGTTTTGAGCTTTGAATATCATCAGATCTAATTGTGAACTCCGATCAGCGCAAGGCGCTACTAGATGCCACAGAAATAATAGCAAAGTATTATCGTCATCTCTCAAACAAACCGTCTCAGCCATCATTCCTCAAACTCTCTACGTCACTCTCCCCTTATAGTCCCTATTTTTCGGTAATTTTGTCTCGTCCAACTGTGGAGAGCTGGACCTACCGTGTTTAGCCTTACGCAGCCCGGTAGTGTCGATCTTAACCGCACTGAGCAGAGCAGGCCCCTCCCCTTATGTTTTGATCTGCATCACTGACTTGTGTTGGTGAAATTGCAGCATTTCGGTCCAGTGGAATCGACGATCTTTGACCTTTTTTGCAGGATCTAATCGCCGCTACTGCAGGAGTCTCAACACCTTTGCTTATGCGATTTCTTTTGCTTTTTGGCTGTGGTTTGATAGAGCAAGACGTGCATCAGGGAGCTGGAAATGGAGGACGTTTTGGTACCTGGTTAATAGTTCGTAGATTCCTACTTGGAGACACAGATCAGGAACATGCCACTATCCTCGTGCTGTCACGAATCATGCCAAGTCTCCCTATACTCTTGCTTTGTATGCATTTATCCTTAACCGCAGCACCAGTAGGCCTCCTAGTGATCCGCCGGAAGCCAGATTTGGCCCCACGTGCCCTAGGCTGATCGGCATTTCGTAGATCGTCACCGGGAGCTTGGTTGGACTGGAATGGAGAATGGGAGATAAGCTCTACCATACTCTGGGTATAGTCCCTGCTGATCTTATGCTAGAGATGCCGCTCTCACTTTTCCTGATGATATCAATCGAAAAAGGAGGACATTGCCCAATTGCAATGGATCTTGGTTATGACGACAGCTGCATTACGGGTTGCTACCAAGGAACTGGATGCCGGAACTGAGATTGCCGAGATAGGATTGATGCGAGGATTGCGTGAGTCAAGGTGAGAGTCGAGTTCCACTGATTCCGACTCAACCGCAGCGGTTCAGCCAGCCACTTTGTTGTAAGTAGGCATGCATACTCCGTAGTAAGTTTTCGGGACAGTGAATGGGCATATATACATTCTTCGTCCCCAAGTTCTCCTATGCTTGTACGTAAGCTCTTCAGTATCTAGGACAACTCCTGAATATACCTTCCTATATGAAAGTACAGTTCGACGCATCCATGACCCAAATCATATCCTCCAGCGACAAGTGGAACAATTCGAAGTTGTTACATCTGAAAGATTCTTTCAGGCCAGCCCGCTATATTCTTCGGTGAACACGCTTAAGAGATGAGGCTAGAAGTCTCACGGGCTTGTTTAAAACACAATGACCCACGACATGTCCTTGGTATGTGGAGTTTGTTTAAAAACCAACCCCCCCTGGACCACAGTAAATTTGTGTAAAGTCAGACTACTCAAATATCAATCCAGCGGATTTTCGGAATAGTCCCACGGTGTTTCTAGATGCTCAGCACCTTAGGGAATGCGGCTTCAGGTGGAACCATTCGATCAAGAACATGAAGCCTATTGCTTATCGTGATGAAATGAGATTTAATCAACAGGGAAAAGACAATAAAGACTTTTATGTCCTTGAACCCCACGAATTGAAAGAAAAAGCCGAACAAACTGGCGATTCAAGTTGACTAATATCAGCCCTTAAGTCGAGTACTGGGAAAGTCTGTGAACAGTTAGCAAATTCTCGCAAAATAGCCATCTCAACCAAAATTTGAGACTTACTCAATCAAATTACCGTCAGGGTCACGGATATAAATGCTTCTAATCCCTCCCATAGCCCCCGTTCTCCCAACAACCTTTCCCTCTTCCAGAACCTTTATACCCTCCTTCTCGAACCCCTCAACCAAGCCCTGCAGATCCGTCCCGTCTTCAATAATAAAGCACAGATCAGCAGTACCAGGCAACGCAGTTCTCGCCTTAGGTTCAAATTCTTTACCGCGCTGATGAAGGTTAATCTTGTGAGTGCCGAATTTCAAGGCGCTGCGAGGTGGAGACGAGGGGTCGGTTGCTGATGTGAAGGTCTCGGACTTCATGCCGAGATATTTGGTGTACCATTCTATAGTGGCCGGGATGTCATTGCATGTTAGGACGAGGTGGTCGATGTCTTTCACTACGGCGAAGGAGGACATTGTGAAGATTGATGTTGATTGTTTGGAGGTTGGAAGTGCTTGATCATTACGCAATGCCTTTTATGAATGTGGGGTACGGCGTTGTGTTGGAGAGACCGAGATGCGTCGGGGATGGCTGAGAACTGGCCGACGGAAGTGAACCACCGATGAAAGAAATAGATTTCCAGTCAATTTTCGTCAATCATTACTAAAATGGGTTCAAATTGAATGCGAAAAGCCCTCGGTTTTCAAACCTTGGCCAGCACAGAATCCCACTTCGCCTTTGGTTCAGCATCTTCATCCTTATCATCGTCCATATCCTCCTCCTCGTCCTCTTCATCCTCAGAGGCAGCATCCCAAGGGCACCAATCCACAGATCCAGATTGTTTATCAAAGAAACACCACTTCCCCCGTCTCGCTTCACACTCGATCCCGCGGTCCCTCAGAAATTGCATAAACTTGCCCGCAGGGAAATCCAAAAACGGCGTACCATCTTCTTCCAAGCCAGCGACTATACCATACAGATACACCTGCTTCAAGTATAGCTGGCTCGCCTCAGAAGATACAACGGTTTGGACCATCTCAAGAAGTATCTGACTTGCATGAGACCATGCCATTTCGTCCATCCACGTGTCTTCGCTGTAACCGTCTCCTTCGATATAATCAGCCGCTGGTCTCTGTTCCAGAACCAGCGTCTCAAGTGTTTTCATAGAAGCCAGTAGAATTCCAAGCCAATCGTCGTAGCAAGCTGACTCGGCGCGTTTGGACCAGCTATAAGTCGCGAAATCGTTCGAAGAGCATGACTCTGCCGGCTGACCAAGAAATAAATGCTTTAGTTTCGGCAACTTTAACTTGCAGTCGCCATAGTCTGTGAAAATGTTCCCCAAGGGTCTAGGGATGATCATGTCATCGACTAGACTTCCATAATCTGACTCGGAAACACTTCCATCATCTGTATTTATCTTCTCACATGGAAGAGGAGTAAAGTGAGGATCGTTCGATAGGCATGTTGAGATAGGACGGTCTAACATGTCGAGTTCAAGGCGTTCTAGAGTATCTCCCGCTCTAAGAAGCCATGCTGGTACTTCTGGTGGCATGTAACCCGAGAGTTTGAGGAATCGAAGTTTTGGAGGAGATCCGAGAATTCTGGGAACCTGCTCCTCAGCCTCTTCGGAGTAGTAGTAGTCTCCGTATAGTTCCAAGGTTTCTAAATTTGAAAAATACGGCAGAAGATGCCAGATTTGAACGGTCTCAGTATCGACGGAATCATTATCCTTATCCACAGGCCTCCATGAAGGATCAATCACGGTACACAAATGCCTTACACGTTGTGTGATCGCTTGCAAACGATTCGTGTTCTGTTTATGCATGCTCTGCAGTATCTCGAAGAACTGAGAAGCCTTCATACGCGCACCTTGCCCGTTTCCCCATTTCTGCTTGGGATGATAAGGCCGACGCGCCGGGTCTCTCGCTGGAGGAGGAATTTTGATCTCATGTCTGGACTCATGGTAGCCCTCTTCATGGAGTTCAATGTCATTCCAGAGAAGCGGTGTTGCAATTTCGTTGAGGCGTTTCGAGGTCCGAGCAATTATGCTAAGATCGTGCGCCGTGATTTGAGAAAAGATCTGGAGTTGGATCTCACTGGGGAGAGAATCTAGTGTTGGGGATGAAGACATGGCGATCGAGAAAAAAGATACAGTGAGTAGGCTAGATTTCGACAGCGCTTCGCGCTTTAAATGATGCGTTCTATCGCCAACCTCGCCTAGCGCTTATGGAGCTGCCTTGTGAAGTGGATAACTATCCCGGTCCTGCTCCCGCTCATGATCGTGAGTGGTGAAGTGAATAGGCAGCATGGCTTGGCGTTTTGGTGAGTATTGGGCGTGTTTACTAGAAATTCGGGCTGAAGTTCTCTGGTAGTTCAGCGGTTGTTGGTTTATCATAAAGCACAGTGACCCTTGGATTTAGCCTCGTCGCTTACCACGCAGCGCTGTCTATTGAACCGATAGCGTATATGTAGTTATTACTTAAGCTTGTTTTATTAACACTTTATTGCCTAAATCCGAGGCTAAGCCCTACCTGCCACTACATGCAGGTATGGCTACGCGATGTTAACACATCAGCGCACCATATTCCAAATTTGGTAATGCCCCTCCGAGCAAACGAGCAGAACCAACATGATCAGACGATGAAGAAGCAATTTTGGAGGGGTACCTTCCGAGAAAAGAAAGATTTTCATTAAGAAGTGGAGTTTATTACATGTCTGGAGCGTGAAGATGTTAACCGCATGAATCACCAGCCAAATACAAAGTCGATGATTCGGCAGGAAGCGGGCTGCATATGCATAGACATGCTGATGAGAGACTTGTCAGACGTCAAGAGTAGCCCCTCAACATGATGTGTGTTGGCTGAACAGGAATTCATGTGAAATTTGTACCTGAACTTTCCTGCTGCTGGTTTCTTTGTGATCTTATCGTTTGTTGAAGTATCGTGATCATGTTCGAGATATCGGATTTCCTTGTTGGGATTTCCCTTGCATTTCTGATCTATATCGGTCTCCAAAAACTTGGCAATGCCTCAAAGCGAGCTCCTCTTCCCCCGGGACCAAAGGGTCTTCCTTTAGTAGGAAACCTGAGCGATCTTCCGCCGCCCGGCGTGTTTGAAGCGCATCACTGGTTGAAGTTCAAGGACATCTATGGTACGACCTCCAGCAAACATAGACTACACGGCGAGTCATCTCATCTGCTGATAACGGCCAGGACCCATCAGCTCTATCACGGTAATGGGACAGACAATCATCATCATAAACAACTGGGAACTTGCATCGCAACTGCTGGGTAAAAAGTCCGCAAAGCATTCCTCCAGACCCAAGATTATGATGGCAGGCGAAATGTGAGTCACCGTCGCTCTGTGATAATATATCGCGGCTGATGAAGACAGGGTTGGCTGGGAGAACTCTCTTGGCTTCTCACCATACAACAATCGCTTCAGAACGCACCGGAAGAACATGGCTCGAATAATCGGATCGAAAAGGGCCGCGGCAAAGTATGACAGACTGCAAGAAGCTGAAGTTGCTCATTTCTTACTGCATGTCTTGGACGACCCAGAGAGGTTCATTGACCATATCAGAAAGTCGGTTTGCTCAGCTCAGAAGTCAGGGAACTAGGCTGACATTGCTAAGGGAAGCCGGCTCAGTTATTCTGAAAATCGCTTACGGATATACAGCTGAGCCGTTCAAGGAAGACAAACTCATAAGAATGGCGGGCCAGGCCATGGATGATGTAACAGCAGCTGGTGTCCCCGGCGCGTTCCTTGTTGATATACTACCCCTATGTAAGCCGCCCCAAACACAATCCCTGCCGACGCAAACCACTGACGCTCCCAGTGAGATACGTACCAGACTGGGTTCCAGGCGCGAGCTTCAAGAGGCTTGCCAAAAAATGGGCTTCAGAACTGGACGATCTTGCCGAAAAGCCTTATGCTTTTGTCAAGCACCAGCACGCCTCGGGTAAACAAGATAACTCATTTCTCTCACGACTTCTCGAAGCTGGAGAGTCGACAGAGGAAGCGAGGTTTACGGCCAAGTGGTCTGCCTTGTCACTGTACGCCGCCGGGGCTGATACGGTACGTTGCTTGGTGGAGATTATGAGGAGCATTGGCTGACATGACAGACCGTCTCTTCCATTTCTCTGTTCTTTCTAGCAATGATATTGTACCCTGATGTCCAGGAGAAGGCCCAAGAGGAGATTGACGGCGTAATCGGCAACGAGAGACTGCCTGATTGTTCAGATCGGTCAAGTCTTCCTTATGTTAATGCGGTAGTTAAGGAGGTTCTTCGATGGAATCCAGTAGTCCCTATGGGGCTGCCTCATACAAGCATTGTAGATGATGTGTTTGAGGGATACTTTATTCCCAAAGACGCCCTGATCATGCCCAATATCTGGTGGGTTCACCTTGTCAGTGGGTGGCCTCGGTCTAATAGTGTATAGGTACTTTGCCCACGACCCTGAGGTCCACCATGAACCGATGCGCTTCAATCCGGAGCGCTTCTTGTCTACCAACGGCAGTCAACCTGAACAAGACCCGCATACGTACACATTCGGCTTTGGGCGCCGCGTATGCCCGGGGCGTGTCTTAGCCGACAATGCATTATTTCTCAACATCGCCCAGTCTCTCGCTGTATTGCATATCAGAAAAGACGAGTATGGTGCCCAACCTGAACTCCTATTTACCCCCGGGATGATCAGCCACCCCGAGCCGTTCAAAGCCGCTATTACGCCCAGGTCGCCACACCATGAGCGACTAATCCGTTCATTGGAGCAAGAGTTTCCCTGGGAACAGAGCGACAGCCATGTCATAGAGAAGATGCACCGCCAAGCATCGTGAACCCCGAAACAGCTGTCATTGCAAGGATCCAAGTCGATCAGAGACGATGCAGAATCTCGGTGTTACTCAGCTTGGCATAACTACCCTTATGCTTAAGGTTTGCCACTAACTAACTAAATTGTCCCCTGATCCCCTCAGCTCCGAGGCCACGGCCACGGTCATGGCCACTTGGTGCCCAAGGCTCCTCCCGGAAGCATCGCCCGGTGAGATTCGCGCCCCGGGAAGATCATGGAAACGAACGATACTGAATGGGGAAAGTGATATCGTCCCCTTGCAGATGTGCTACACATGAGTTGTCAGGCAGATGATTTGATTGAAGAGCATTTTGTATTGAGGGGTCTAATTTGAGGCGAAGGGGCAATAGCTCGCGGTTGGAGATTGTTTAGGCTGCTTTTGCGGGCTGCTTTTGACTTGTTACAGGGGGCGGGGCCTGGAGCTGAACTGGGTTGACTGATCCCGACCGATTGGCGCTGTGAATTGTAAACCGCGAATACGTAGTCACGCTTTAGCCTACGGGCGGTTTTAGGCATTAAAGAAAAGTAAAAAAGTGGCAGTGAAATCTGACAAGTTCATCCTAACCCAAAGCTTAATTCTTGATTCTGTATCTGTCAGCAAAAGCGGGATAACTAAAAGTAATT